CACGGCTGCTTCTCAAGGACCTTTCCCTTCCAACGGCCGTCAGCCCTCCTTGCGATGTGTATTGCCCACCGCCACTTAAGAAGGCTATTTTTTGGGACTGTGTCGGCGATGTTAGTTCTCCTGCGAAACTCACCATTCCTTATTGGATCACGCTGTATAACCCCGAGCACATGTACAGTGAAACCTGGTTAAGTGGGACCTGGATAAATGAGAAACCTCTATTATTGAGAGTGGCAATGAGGTCCCGGTTCTTTTTCATTAAATTACCTCTGTTAATGGGACTTTTTGGACCTGGTTAACTGAGATTTGAATTCTTAGACTCTTTCGATGTCTACCTCTATAATTGAGACTCTGTAGCTCAATTACCTGTATAAGTGAGACTAATTAATCAGGTTGTAACACGTTTTGACATGTTTGTTTACATACATTTCGCGTCGTCTTTCGCGCATGCTTTATTTGTCAGTACTCTAAAAATGGAATAACGGCACTTTTCGACCTCTGTCTCTGTAAATGAGACAACTATAATTTTAAACTTGCTTAATTGGAAAACTGGATTATTGGATACCCTCAATAATTGGTACATATATCTTGGTCCCTTGAGATCCCAATTAACCAGGTTTCACTGTATATATATTTATTAGTTACGCATAGTACTGCCCCGCAGGCCAAGAAACGTCCTTACGGACCCCCTAATAAACGCGCGATCTCGAGGCCCTTCTGGCCTCCGAGGAGCCAAATGGGCATTGCAACGCGCCTGAGAGCCCGGCCCCCCCGATCCGGAGAGACCTTCAGTCGCTCAGTCCCAAACCGATACAGATGCACATCAGAGTGCATCCGTCCTCTAAGCGCACTATGCAGTAGTACTTACTAAGGCAGCGCTGCATCATCGGATGATGTGTGCCGATGTGTGTGATGAGTGTTGCCGATCGATAGTCGACTATCGAGGATTAATCGATAGTCTATCGATAGCCGACCAATCGTATGACAATCGATCGGCTTATCGATAGTATCGATACTATCGATAGTATTGTAGGTCGGTAATAACAAACTATCTATAGTATCGATACTGTCGATTTTATTTGCAACTATACTATCGATAGTTTAACAATTTGCAATAGTATTGTTTACAATTTTCAGGTATTATAGTCAATCACAATCAACTATTAGAATTAGCACAGCTCGATAGAAATGTTTATAAATATATATATATATCGGCCTCTAATAGTCCTCAACTACAATACTGTTAAAACATACCTAATACTATTGCAAATTGGTAGACTATCGATAGTCTAAAACAATCGCTAGTATCGATACTATCGATAGTATTGTTGCAGATAAAATCAACGGTATCGATAGTATCGATACTATCAATAGTTTGTTATTACCGAACTACAATAGTATCGATACTATCGATACTATTGCACTCATTCGATAGTATTGCCTTGTTCTGTGCTATCGATTGTATCGATTCTATCGATAGGCCTATCGATAGGGTACATGATTTTCGATGTAAACTGTCGATAGTTTTCATATCGATAGTTCGGCAACACTATCATCCCCTTCTCAGGGGTTGATCGCATCAGATGAAGCCTGTAAGGCCCCTAAGGCCATACGCATCCCCCACGGATGTGTTTTAGTCAGTAAGAGTCTGACATAATCCTTCAGCCGGCTGTAGGGTATCCATGAGGATTTCACACGCGCTCCCCCGCCTGGGAGGAAACAAAAAAAAAAAAAAAAATGGTTGCCTGTAAAGTCGGTTTTACGGGCGAAGATTTACGTGACAACGTCTTTTTCTCGGTAGAATATTTATTGATATGAATATAATTAAATTGCACAATAGGAACAAGGAATTGAATGAAAATAAGAATTGCACAAATTTCAACTATAGAAATATATTTTGTTTACTAAAACATTGTACATGTAAACTTAAACTTAACACGAGAGACTCATCGTAACGTTACCGAGCGTTACACTTTTTCATAAGTGACTCCCAGCCGCAACCTAATTTAAGACGTTGTCACGTCAATAAAAAGCATAATACTGTCCGTTACCCTTTGGGTAAATTTAAGCCTTCTTATGAAACACATTGCTATTCTAATAGGCTAAAAAAGAATGTGTGTGTCAGCTCCGACGCACAACTGGAGTTTACTCCTTAAGTTCGATAGTCTAACCAGACGCAAAAAGAGTTTATTTAACTTAAAAAAGATTGATACTGTATGAAAGGGTAAATTAACAAATTAATGAAAATAATGTACACATATAAATATATATTTATTCATTTCATATACATTTATTGTATCTAATCGACGAAATATTTTACATTAAAATTTTTACAATAGTCAATTTCAGATGTGCATAATATCATTAGGAATGTTGAAAAAATTCCACGCGGACCAGGCAGCAGACGGGACCTGGTCCGCGTGGAATTTTTTCTAGTTATATTTTCTTTAGATTTAAACATCAAGCAGTTACATGCTTTAAAAATAATAAAAATTATAATTAGGAATGTTGATAAATTATATAATTATTATTATCAGACTATTATCATTTTTTTAAATATTAATTATATCAACATTGTCTGCATTATTAATTACAGTGACAAGTGGTTTATGGTAACTAAAATAAGACACATGGACGTTCGTAGATACGAGGTTCACGAATCTTGAAAATACCGCATCAATGAATCAACCATACCTCGTTGTCCCCATTGCTGTATCAGAAACAATATCTAAATTCAGTTCAGATTTTAAAAAAAATATTAATGTCAATCCGTCATCTTTGTTTGTCAAAGTTGCGCGACATAGGATGCGCACCAAAAACGTAACGAGGTCATTCATCGATAGATTTTACTCCTCACATTTTTCTCATACCGGGCCCCTTATATATGCAAATCGATTCTTAAGGAGTAAACACCAAAAAAAAAAAACAAAAAAGAAAAACATAGTACTGTCCTTTACCCTTTGGGTAATTTTAAGCTTTCTTATGAAACACATTGCTATGCTAATTGGTAAAAGTGTAATAAAATATAATCAACAGATATTTCTACAAAAGAAAATATTGTTAAAAATAGCAGCTATCATAGGGACCACGCCTTCTGTAGGTTCCTCTTGCTCTTTATCGCCGACACTCCCTTTTATATTTTAAACTAGGAACGGAATGGCGTACTTCCAAGTTTCTTCACTATCAATTCGCTGTAGGAGTAAGCAGTCTTGATATTTTCTGGCTTTGTGATGCAGGGCTACGTTCTAATTTTCCACTTGGGTTTACACTTGGGTGTTCACATGTAACAGAGACACGCGTTTTTTGAAGTTATACTTCTTTATGCGCGTTATGAACTTCATGCTGTTACTTTTGTGCTTACCGCACATTAAGAAAATCTACCAACAAAATAGAATCTCTATTTTGTGGGTGCTAACGACTGCATTGTGAAGGCCTATCAAAAGTATTTATTAATCTGGAACAACGGAACCAAAGCGCGATTCAGGAGACTACAGCGCCATCTCTTGACCATTGGTGTAGTAGAACCAAAAACCACATCTCTATTTTTTGTAATAAAGTAACAGTTATAGGTATTCATATTTATAATATTTATCCACATGTTTCTAGTTTGTATATTCGGAATACGTGTTTGAGTTTCATACAAGTGCAAATCACATATGTTCTAATAAATTATATTCAGTAGCGATTTTAATTGAATATTTTGATTATTTATTTATTTTTTCAAATTAAAACTGAACTTTATTGACTGTGTCCTTTTCCAGACTTTTTATTAATTTATTGTAATTAATTATTTGCATGCAATTAAAAACTAATTTTAAACGATGCCAAAGAAGGATAACTTCTCACGCGCCTACATAAGTACACGCACCCATTTTTTTTTTATTAATTTACATCGTAGGTACTGTAACGTCCGTTACGTAACAGCCTCCTTGTTTGGGTAAACTCTTTGTTCATGCAATGTCTACGGCAGGCAGTTATATTAAAAAGTTAATAAGTTAATGTCATGATTTTAATATTTGAAATAAGGAATCGTCTGTCTTTTGATAGAAGGTTCCACATCATATAGACTTCAGGCACCAAACCACTCGTAGATAGATTTAAAACATTCATTTTATATTCGCCTGAAATCTATTAAAACCAATATAAAATTTAAGTTGTTACAATAAATTGCTACGCTGCCAAGGCCCTTCAGGGTAGATCGCCGCAGTACCTACATTTTCCTTGAGTTTGTCGATTTGATTTATTAAACGGTTAAACACGGTCGATGTTACAATAACTTCAATTATAGAGAATTTATTATACAACTTAAGAAGATATAACAATAAAATACAAGTAACATTAACAATTTCACATCATAAAACTATAAAATACACTAACTATAAACAAATAAGTCTCTATCTAATTACATACTTACTATATATAAGTAAAATATAAATACTAGAATAATAAAACTAAAATTAAAGACCTTAAAACATAAAATTAATAACTAAAATATATTATTAAAAGGAGTCCCTTTAGGCAAGGAACCGAAGATACTGGCAGCGTTACCTCTTTGAATGGCTAGACTAATTCTTTGTCCGAGGTAGCTGCCAGCTCTTCGGTCTCCTGTGACGTCGACTAACCTTTTTGCTATTTCCTTAAAGCGTTAGGACCCCACGGAATTTGAATTCGCAGTTAACACATTGTATCATTATCTGTAATGAGAGAAAAGATTTAACTTGAATTCTTAAATTGTTGTTTTCTTACAAACGAACTTATGAACAGTAAAATCTACAACTTCAAACAGAAATAAAAGCAAATATACACGTACATGAAAATAGTACCATAAAAAATTGTTATTCGATTAAAAATAATGTTTTACTTTGATATGATTGTATGTAGGTACATATTTTGCTTTATATCGCGCGCGAACACTTAGTCAACACTGAGAGCGACAGGTACGCATTGTGAAAAAAGTGTAAATGCACACATAAATAATGATCGGTACAACACAACAATTAATGATAGGCTTATTGGTGCTATTGTTTTGTTCGAAATCGGATGCTGCGACTTCAGTAGCGCGCATCATCGGAGGTCAGGACGCGTCATTACACCTGTATCAGAATATCGTCAGGATTGAGGAGCTGGAGAGACGGGGCCAAACATTCCACCGTTGCAGCGGCACTGTTCTCACCTCCACCTGGGTGTTGAGTGCCGCCCACTGCTTCGACAAGGACGAAGACCAGATAAGAAAATACGTTATAAGATACCGTTACGGAGAAGTATCCGGGGCCCCCGGTAATAATGACACTTTCGCTCAAGTTATTAAGATTAAGCAGCATCCCTCCTATCTATACCGAGAACAACCTCAATCCGTTTTCAGAAATGATATCTGTCTGGTGAAAACTACACCAATACATATAAATCAGTACAGGCTGCTGAGCGCGGTGGAGTACACGTCATTGTTCGGGCAAGAGGTAATGGTCGCCGGCTACGGCATCATGAAAATGGGAAATGATATCGAAGATACACTGACTCTTAAAAAACCTTTACAAGTGTTGAAGCTGTTAGCTACTAAATGTCCTAAAGACGGTGACTTTAGTATGGATCCAGGCATATGCGCGGTGACCCGTTGCGGGGAGATGTCGTATCCGTGCGAAGGCGATTCTGGCGGGCCCCTGCTGCATTCATCGCGTGTCGCTGCGGTGCTTTCGAGTGCAGAAGCTTCCTATTGTACCGAAAAAATAGAAAACCATTATTTCCTGTACGCAGCATACACCCCTGTAAGCCCTTATATCAATTGGATATACAACGAAATAAAAAATGAAACAAGAATTAAAAGACAAGTCGCATAATCATAAATCTCTTATCTATTAGACAAGTCCGTCCGTCCGTCCGTCTGTGGTGCTGTTTATATAAATTAAGAATAGTCTGATAAGACTACAAACCGGATTTGAGTAACGTAGCACTTCCGGTTTTCGAGAAATCACGAATTTCAAACGAAACCACACAAAATCTCCGAAGTTCTCAATTAATTAAATACATTTTTTTTTTAATTGGTGAACATTTGGTTCACTGGTTTGCTAGTGACCTTATATTAGAATGACCATATCTTGCTGAGTGTTCTCGTTCCGCCGACTTACAGTGGCCACTGATTTCAATGCGAACAAAGAGGTTTGCTAACCCATTTCTTTATCGCATTATCCGCATATGGAATACTTTAGCCGGGATCCTTTAAAAGAGCCGTGAAGGTGAGGATGGCTGGTGTGGCAGGTAGAACTGCTATACTACCAGCTGGGGTGGAGACACTTATGTGAGTCTGATATAGACAGCTCTAAATCGATTTTCGTATGTAAATCTATAATCTATACTTTAATATTATAAAGCGGAAGAGTTTGTTTATTTTTTGGATTGTTTGGTTGAACATGCTGAGCTCTACTAATGATTCAAATTAAAAACATATTTTTGTGATAGCCCATTTATTAAGCCACCGTCAACGTGCCAAGTCTACTTGAGCCGACTGGTTTTGCAAGAGACCGGACGGTATGAGTTTGATTCCATGGAAGTTGGGCCGGGTGCTAGTATGGGATGCAACCTGCTCAGACACGCTGGCCCCTTCCCATCTACATGGAACCAACAACAGAGCTGGTGCGGCTTGTGAAGCGGCTGAAAAAGCTAAGGCATGCAAATACAGGGGTCTAGGCTCCGAATATAATTTTGTCCCATTCGGTGTCGAGACCCTTGGTCCGTGGGGTCCTAGCGCTGTAAGACTTTTTAAGGAAATAGCAAAAAGGTTGGTCGACGTCACAGGAGACCGAAGAGCTGGCAGCTACCTCGGACAAAGAATTAGTCTAGCTATTCAAAGGGGGAACGCTGCCAGTATCTTTGGTACCTTGTCTAAAGGGACTCCCTTTAATAATGTATTTTAGTATTATATATTTTAAGGTTTTTAGTTATAAATATCTTACTATTTGTTCTTTAGTTAAACTATTAAATTATTTACTTACTTCGTAATTTGACATTAATTGTACTTATTTACATAAATCTTTTTATTTTTTTTAAGGAAGGTAACATAACAATGTTGCAAGATGACATGATAATGCCAGAGTCAAATTTTATGAGATGAAATATTATGGGTCGGGTCGACTTTTTCCCTAGTTTTCAAAAATTCAGAATTCGTAATATTTTTTAAGCATTTAATTGCCAGATGTTTAATTCTTACGAACATTTTACTACCACGCGAACCAGGCAGCAGATGAATGCACTGACCATTATGCTACTGCGGCCCTGATGGCCGTGTGGAATTTTCTCTAGCCTTTCTTAGGCTGTAAAGCAGCGACATCTCTTCGCATAATTGTAGTTAATCCAGATATATTTACGCGGTCAACGGTTTTCATCATCAGACGAGATATCTGAAAAGGATGTTTCTGAATTCACCACGGAGGAATTGAATTGATGTTTTTAAAATTAGTTTATAAAATTGCATCATCATCATCAGCCTATTAATGTCCCCACTGGTGAGGCACAGGCCTTCCCTATGGATGGAATAGGGAGATTGGGCCATCACCCACCGCGCGGGCTCGGTGCGGATTGGTGGGTGCTAATGACTGCAGATGCAGCCGGGACCAACGGCTTAACGTGCCTTCCGAAGCACGGAGGAGTTCGAGATCGTAAATTTTTGGTCACCCATCCAATGACCGACCACTGCGAAAGTTGCTTAACTTCAACGATCGCAGCCGAACGCGCTAACCACTTGTGCCATCGAGCTCCTCCGAGAAATTGCATTGGAGCTAACAATTAACATTATTTTTAATAATAATTCCGTTTTTTTGTACGTTTAAAACATTCTCATAACATAATGGTTTGCGTAAGATTATGGTAGGCCACCAGGATTATTAGTAATTTTGTAAGTCATAAATAACCATAAAAACATATCGTAAAACTATTACCTTAATAAAGGAAAGGCTTCGGCTTGTTACGAGCCTTGAATTTAAAGGCATCTTGAGCTCTAAAATATGCTATTAATATGAAACTTGCGAATGGCAATTATGAATAAGTAATATTATTGAATTTTTTGCACCAATTTGGTCTCTATTGCTGGTGCGGTAGATACAGTTTAATATTCTCCGTTTGGGCGTGAGACATGTCTTAATAGGACACAAGAGTAGAGTTACCATAAATCCATATTGTCTAGGATTCAAATTTAATTTATATACTTTTTTAATTACTGTCATAATCTTGATATCTTTCGGATTGCTGACGACTCAGACACTATACATTCGGACAGTGTTCGAGTCGTCAGAAACTCTATCTTGCGATTTGTGAATATGTCAAAAGTTATGTCATTGTGACGTAAATCTCTGCATTGTGCAATATAAATAAATACTTTTATTCTTATTATATAAAAACAAAAACATCCCTTAAATTTCCAATTAAACTAAACTAAAAATCTAAACGAAAGGAAAGGATTCTTCATGTTCACTTTTTCATTATTCTTTGAAAAATTCAAATTTCTATATTGTCAAATTCTTCTTAGTGAACAGCAAGTTTAGTTAGTTAGTTATATAATTTAGTTTCTTTAGGTTTAAATATAAAGTATTCAATAAAACTACTTTTCAACGTGTTTAAAATGCGTTTTTAATACTTTTATACGTGTATCTCTACGTTTTGCATAATTTAAAGTTCCAGGCTGCGTTCCTTTATAGGATGCGATACGAAAAGATATGTATAAAAATATAAAAAACGCATTTGAAACGCGCTGAAAAGTAGTTTTATTGAATGGGTAAAAACATAGGAAATAAAAATAAAAAAAGAATAATTTTATGTCTAGGTTTTCAAAGTGTCGCTTACTCAGACGTTCCAGGTTCAAATTCTGGTGGGGCGAATGTTTGTATGATGTGTACGAGCATTTGTATCTCAGTCATTGTTGTTTAAAAAGCATATAAATAAATAAATTTCTATGAAATATACTTATCTTTGCATCATCATATCAGTCGAGTATTGCTTACCGCCACTTAAGAAGCCTATTTTTTGGGGCTATTCTCCTGCGAATCTCATCATTCCTTATTGGATCGTGCTAAGTAACCCCGAGCATATGTATATATATTTATTAGTTATGCATAGTACTGTCCGTTGCCCTTTGGGTAATTTTAAACCTTCTTATGAAACACATTGCTATGCTAATTGTTATAAGTGTAATAAAATATAATGAACAGATATTTCTACAAAACAAAAAATTAATGACCACGCCTTCTGTAGGTTCCTCTTGCTCTTCATCGCCGACACTCCCTTTTATATTTTAAACTAGGAACGGAATGACGTACTTCCAAGATCCTTCACTATCAATTCGCTGTAGGAGTAAGCAGTCTTGATATTTTCTGGCTTTGTGATGGTGGGGCTACGTTCTAATTTTCCATTTGGGTTTTTACATGTAACAGAGACAAGCGTTTTTTTTTATTAATTTACATCGTAGGTACTGTAACGTCCGTTACGTAACAGCCTCCTTGTTTGGGTAAACTCTTTGTTCATGCAATGTCTACGGCAGGCAGTTATATTAAAAAGTTAATGTCATGATTTTAATATTTGAAATAAGGAATCGTCTGTCTTTTCATAGAAGGTTCCACATCATATAGACTTCAGGCACCAAACCACTTGTAGATAGATTTAAAACATTCATTTTATATTCGCCTGAAATCTATTAAAACCAATATAAAATTTAAGTTGTTTCAATAAATTGCTACGCTGCCAAGGCCCTTCAGGGTAGATCGCCGCAGTACCTACATTTTCCTTGAGTTTGTCGATTCGATTTATTAAACGGGTAAACACGGTCGATGTTACAATCACTTCAATTTGAATTCGCAGTTAACACATTGTATCATTATCTGTAATGAGAGAAAAGATTTAACTTGAATTCTTAAATTGTTGTTTTCTTACAAACGAACTTATGAACAGTATTGAATTAAAAAAATCTACAACTTCAAACAGAAATAAAAGCAAATATACACGTACATGAAAATAGTACCATAAAAAAATATTATTCGATTAAAAATAATGTTTTACTTTGATATGATTGTGTGTAGGTACATATTTTGCTTTATTTCGCGCACGGACACTTAGTCAACACTGAGAGCTACAGGTACGCATTCTGAAAAAAGTGTAAATGCACACATAAATAATGATCGGTATAACACAACAATTAATGATAGGCTTATTGGTTCTATTGTTTTGTTCGAAATCGGATGCTGCGACTTCAGTAGCGCGCATCATCGGAGGTCAGGACGCGTCATTAGACCTGTATCAGAACATCGCCAGGATTGAGGAGCTGAAGAGACGGGGCCAAACGTCCCACCGCTGCAGCGGCACTGTTCTCACCTCCACCTGGGTGTTGAGTGCCGCCCACTGCTTCGACAAGGATGAAGACCAGATAAGAAAATTCGTTATAAGATACCGTTACGGGGAAGTATCCGGGGCCCCCGGTAATAATGACACTTTCGCTCAAGTTATTAAGATTAAGCAGCATCCCTCCTATCTAATCCGACAACAACTTGAATCCGTTTCCAGAAATGATATATGTCTGGTGAAAACTACACCAATACATATAAATCAGTACAGGCTGCTGAGCGCGGTGGAGTACACGTCATTGTTCGGGCAAGAGGTAATGGTCGCCGGCTACGGCATCATGAAAATGGGAAATGATATCGAAGATACACTGACTCTTAAAAAACCTTTACAAGTGTTGAAGCTGTTAGCTACTAAATGTCCTAAAGACGGTGACTTGATATGCGCGGTGACCCGTTGCGGGGAGATGTCGTATCCGTGCGAAGGCGATTCTGGCGGGCCCCTGCTGCATGCATCGCGTGTCGCTGCGGTGCTTTCGAGTGCAGAAGCTTCCTATTGTACCGAAAAAATAGAAAACCATTATTTCCTGTACGCAGCATACACCCCTGTAAGCCCTTATATCAATTGGATATACAACGAAATAAAAAATGAAACAAGAATTAAAAGACAAGTCGCATAATCATACATGACCTTATATTAGAATGACCATATCTTGCTGAGTGTTCTCGTTCCGCCGACCACGGGCGTTGGCCTAAGTTGACGCCGACTTACAGTGGCCACTGATTTCAATGCGAACAAAGAGATTTGCTGACCCATTTCTTTATCGCATTATCCGCATATGGAATACTTTAGCCGGGATCCTTTAAAAGAGCCGTGAAGAAACACTATGCATGCCGGCAAGGTGAGGATGGCTGGTGTGGCAGGTAGCACTGCTCTACAACTAGCTGGGGTGGAGACACTTATGTGAGTCTGATATAGACAGCTCTAAATCGATTTTCGTATGTAAATCTATAATCTATACTTTAATATTATAAAGCGGAAGAGTTTGTTTATTTTTTGGATTGTTTGGTTGAACATGCTAAGCTCAGGAACTACTGATTCAAATTAAAAACATATTTTTGTGATAGTTAGCCCATTTATTAAGCCACCGTCAACGTGCCAAGTCTACTTGAGCCGACTGGTTTTGCAAGAGACGATGGCAAGAGACCGGACGGTATGAGTTTGATTCCATTGAAGATGGGCCGGGTGCTAGTATGGGATGCAACCTGCTCAGACACGCTGGCCCCTTCCCATCTACATGGAACCAACAACAGAGCTGGTGCGGCTTGTGAAGCGGCTGAAAAAGCTAAGGCATGCAAATACAGGGGTCTAGGCTCCGAATATAATTTTGTCCCATTCGGTGTCGAGACCCTTGGTCCGTGGGGTCCTAGCGCTGTAAGACTTTTTAAGGAAATAGCAAAAAGGTTGGTCGACGTCACAGGAGACCGAAGAGCTGGCAGCTACCCCGGACAAAGAATTAGTCTAGCTATTCAAAGGGGGAACGCTGCCAGTATTTTTGGCACCTTGCCTAAAGGGACTCCTTTTAATAATGTATTTTAGTGATTATATTTTAAGGTTTTTAGTTATAAATATCTTACTATTTGTTCTTTTGTTAAATTATTAAATTATTTACTTACTTCGTAATTTGACATTAATTGTACTTAGTTGACAGAAAACTTTTTATTTTTTTTAAGGAAGGTAACATAACAATGTTGCAAGATGACATGATAATGCCAGAGTCAAATTTTATGAGAGGAAATATTATGGGTCGGGTCGACTTTTTCCCTAGTTTTCAAAAATCCAGATTTCGTTATATTTTTTAAGAATTTAACTTCCAGATGTTTAATTCTTACGAACATTTTACTACCACGTGAACCAGGCAGCAGATGAAAGCACTGACCATTATGCTACTGCGGCCCTGATGGCCGTGTGGAATTTTCTCTAGCCTTTCTTACGCTGTAAAGCACCGATATCTCTTCGCATAATTGTAGTTAATCCAGATATATTTACGCGATCAACGGTTTTCATCATCAGACGAGATATCTGAAAAGGATGTTTCTGAATTCACCACGGAGGAATTGAATTGATGTTTTTAAAATTAGTTTATAAAATTGCATCATCATCATCAGCCTATTAATGTCCCCACTGCTGAGGCACAGGCCTTCCCTATGGATGGAATAGGGAGATTGGGCCATCACCCACCGCGCGGGCCCGGTGCGGATTGGTGGGTGCTAACGACTGCAGATGCAGCCGGTACCAACGGCTTAACGTGCCTTCCGAAGCACGGAGGAGTTCGAGATCGTAAATTTTTGGTCACCCATCCAATGACCGACCACTGCGAAAGTTGCTCCTCCGAGAAATTGCATTGGAGCTAACAATTAACATTATTTTCAATAATAATTCCGTTTTTTGTACGTTTAAAACATTCTCATAACATAATGGTTTGCCGTTTGCTGGTAACTGATTATGGTAGGCCACCAGGATTATTAGTAATTTTGTAAGTCATAAATAACCATAAAAACATATCGTAAAACTATTACCTTAATAAAGGAAAGGCTTTGGCTTGATACGAGCCTTGAATTTAAAGGCATTTTGAGCTCTAAAATATGCTATTAATATGAAACTCTGAACTTTTTTGCACGAATTTGGTCTCTATTGCTGGTGCTGTAGATACAGTTTAATATTCTCCGTTTGGGCGTGAGACATGTCTTAATAGGACACAAGAGTAGAGTTACCATGAATCCATATTGTCTAGGATTCAATTTTTATTTATATATTTTTTTGTGTGATGTGAATGTGTCACAAATCGCAAGATAGAGTTTCTGACGACTCGGACACTGTCCGAATTTATTGTGTCTGAGTCGTCAGCAACACGAAAGATATCAAGATTATGATAATAATTAAAAGATTATGTTATTGTGACGTAAATCTCTGCATTGTGCAATAACAAAAATGATTTTTATTCTTATTATGTAAAAAAAAAATCCCTTAAATTTCCGATTACCTTTAAAGTGCTAATTTTTAAAAATCTAAACGAAAGGAAAGGATTCTTCGTGTTCACTTTTTCATTATTCTTTATCATCATCATCAGCCTATTAATGTCCCCACTGCTGGGGCACAGGCCTTCACTATGGATGGAATAGGGAGACCCGGCCATGACCCACCACGAGGGCCCAATGCGGATTGGTGGGTGCTAACAACTGCAGATGCAGCCGGGACCAACGGCTTAACGTGCCTTCCAAAGCACGGAGGAGCTCGAGATAGTAATTTTTGGTCACCCATCCAATGACCGACCACCGCGAAAGTTGCTTAAGTTCAACGATCGCAGCCGAACGCGCTAACCACTTGCGCCATCGAGCTCCTCATTATTCTTTGAAAAATTCAAATTTCTATTTTGTATATTTCTTCTAAGCGAACAGCAAGTTAAGCTAAACACCGTGTTCCTGAGGATACTTCTATGGCTCTTGTTAAACATATCGTACAAAGAAAGTAGTAGTTTAAATAGCATAGTTTTTAAGTTATTGATAATTTAAGTTTAACCAACTTAATTGTGTTGTGCAGTGAGAAAGAGTCTTTATCTGTGAGATATTGCCACTTTGTGCAACCAAAGCTATCAAACTAACAACTCTTTATCAATGGTCATTAAGTCATAGTTCCAAAAGTCAAAATTTTAAAAAAACATTGTTGACGTCAAGAGAAGTTTTTTAAAATGTTTATGTGGACATGTGAACCAAAGTTTCAAATGCGACGTTGCCAGCTCAGGTAAAGAGTAATTCATATAAGATAAATTACATCTAAGCATTTAGTTTGTATAAAAATAAAAAAAAATGTTAAAGAAATTGGAATTCATAAAAGTGTCCTTATAGTAAAAAATGTTCAATTTAATAGTCTGAATAACATGCCAAAGTTAGTGTATAACCTCAGGAATATAGATGTAATTCCGGTTTAAAACCAATTAAACCAATCCGTTTAAAACGAAAAAAACCGTTTAAAACCGAATAAAAAAAAATTGTTGGCAAGTGTTAGCATTGTGTTTATGATGTCTTTTATTTTAATCTAGTGTGTAATAATATAATAAATGTATATTAAATAAGTGCTTAAGTATGAAGGTACCTACATACCTACTTAAGTTTTCGTGGTACCTAGGTAATGTAAGTAGGTACTTTCTATTGATTTTCTTTATACCTACTAAGTAAAACGAAACATGACGTCAGGTGACCAAAAATTTACCATAATGAAGTGTATTAGTACATTACGATACGCGTGACCTCGCTCCGCTCGGGCGCTAACTTCACGCCGTGCAGTAATAGGCAACTTAGGCCACAAGTATCGTATACTATTTTATAGCAAGTGTGACATAAACCCGCCCCGGACGCGGGCAAGAGGGGGGGGGGGGGGTTCGATTAGTGTTTTGAAAGTAAAATTCATGTATTGCAATCACAAAGAATTGCAATACAGACTGCAAGTCAAACTCTGAAAAGAAAGAATTCCGGTTCAGATTACCATTTTGAAAGTATATTTCAAAAGGAAAAAATCAAATATCATTACAAAAAAATAGAATTTCAATGTATCCATGAACGTTTATTCCTTGATTGGCATAGTAAAGTTAAGTTACGCGTATCGTAATGTACTAATTCTACATGAGTGAAGTTGGTCAATTCATTTACACACCGTGCAGAAATAGGCAACTTAGGTCACGGAAAAGCGTGCGTAAAGTGCCGGTTTAGGTCACACTGTGCTATAAAAAACATAGTTCTCTTATTTCTGTATGCCAGTTTTCAACCGTTTAAAACGATTTATTTGGGGTTTAAAACGGCCACGTTTTGTTTAAAACGTTTTAAATCGGTTGTTTTACATCTATACTCAGGAACACGGTGTATAGTTTAGTAATGTCGTTGAAAGATGGTGCCCGTAGCCCGTAGCTTGCGGGCGCGTGTCGCCGGCGGCGCGCGACGGGCGACGGGCGTCGACGGGCGGGCCGCACGCGTCCTTAAGCCGCGCCGCGCGTCGTCGCCCACTAAACGTCAAACGCGCGATTGATAAGTCGCCCCGCAGCCGCCCTTGTTTGCTCTGCCGGTTTTATTGCCAGTGGGATGTCGAATGTTGCCAATAAACAAGACGGCACACGGCGGACGTCAGGTTTGTGGGAAAAATAATATTTTTCTTGTCGTGATACCAACTTTGTAGAATAACGCGGATCACACAAATCCTGGGAATCGCACATTCTTTTGTAACCGATTTACTGGATGGGTATTATTACAAGTGGACTATCGCGGCGTAAAAGTGAACCGTGATAACAAAATTTTATTTATATAAAAATAAAATTTATATATAAGCGCCGATAAGCGCCGACACGCGCTGGTCCGAATAATAAATAATTTGTATTTGAATTATTATCCTTAGATTAAATCAATCTAAGTTATAATCTTTTTACAAAACCTAATAACTTTATCTTTTATTAACTAAGCGCTAAAATTATTTGTTTCGTACCTACCGAATGGTGACAACAAGTCTTTCTTCTGGAAGGATTGGTTGTTTATGCCAATTGCCCCAATTTTTCATCAAACGGTTTTTCACTAAATCCAAAATGTAATAAAATGTTTCTTGAATCATTCTTGTATATGTATAAAATCTTTGTTCATCAAATTTTTTTTTTACAAATAAATGATGGTATTCTCCGAAACGTTTCCTTTCTCTATTTATAGGATGTATAGCTGTTTTTCGCATTTTTAAATAAACATTTTCTAACAAAACCAAATCATCGTCCGATGAGTCCGACATTTTGCTTGATCTGCTTTAATCGGCTTCCTTTATGTAGGAAGGATCGGCGCCGATCGGCTTTCGGCTTTCTTTCTGTATACGGCCTTAGAGCAGTGTTTCCTAACCTTTCCAATACTGCTGCCCCAGTAACCTATTAGAGAAACAGATTTTACCCCAACTTTAAAATGTTATCATCAGTCCAAGAAATTCCAATTTGACCGCTACATCTTCGTCTCTACTAATGTCATCATCAGGAGAGAATCTCGCCCCGCTTCCCACACTCAGCACCCCGCGGGCTCACTAGCAAGTAGGAGCGCATGCTCTATTTAGTAGTATTATTTAGATTTGACCTAATAATTAGGTTCTTTGTTACCCCCGAAGTGTGGCTGATTTACCCCCGGAGGGGTAATTACCCCCAGGTTCGGAACCCAGGCCATAGACCTTTGATTATTTATCCTTAAACAAAGATACTTAGTAAAATTTATTTATCTTTAACAAAGTTTCTACAGCGGTTTTTGTGAAATTTAATACAATAAAATATAGATATAATCTTAAAGCCAATTACAGAAACTCATTACGTACACATTAGATATTAACGGCGTTATAATATGTCAGTAATTATTACATTTAATTTAATTTAATTTTAAAAATTGCATAAAAATCATATAATTCATTAACATAAAAATAAAATAAAATTAAGATTGGACAAAAACATAACAAAAAGACAAAAAAGAAGAAAAACAAACACTGAATATCCATATAAAAAGGTTTTCAAGAGTTTGTCACATGATAACCTCATGAAGTGTGAGTGGGTGTGTGTGCGTGTATGTATGTGTGTTTGTATGTGTGTGTGTGTGTGTGTCTCCATGCAGCTGCAATGCTATGCCTGGTAACGAGATGGCGGACACCGCAACCCGGGCACTACATCATAAAAGTTTTTTTGACGTGACAACGTCTTAAATTAGGTTGCGGCTGGGAGTCACTTATGAAAAAGTGTAACGCTCGGTAACGTTACGATGAGTCTCTCGTGTTAAGTTTAAGTTTACATGTACAATGTTTTAGTAAACAAAATATATTTCTATAGTTAAAATTTGTGCAATTCTTATTTTCATTCAATTCCTTGTTCCTATTGTGCAATTTAATTATATTCATATCAATAAATATTCTACCGAGAAAAAGACGTTGTCACGTAAAATCTTCGCCCGTAAAACCGACTTTACAGGCAACCATTTTTTTGTGTGATGCGGATTGTTTTTCTAAATGGCTGTGTTAAAAAGAATATTGGCACTATTACCTGTTTCCCACAAACATATTTTCCGAGGCTGGCCGGTGCAGACACCTGTTTAAATACGGGCACGCATTGTTTGTGTGGCGTATCTCCCCCCGGGCAAACACACCACTTGGCGCGCACAATATTACAAGCAATAAGACGTCACACGCTATCAGCACCGAACTTATTAAAAAGGACAATTATCACAAACTAGCCACCCGCCCTGCTTCACACGGGTACACCTATCTCTTATCTATTAGACAAGTCCGTCCGTCCGTCTGTCTGTGGTGCTGTTTCAGCCTCCAAACCGTAAGAGATAGATAAAGAGAATATTTAAGTTATAAGTTAAGAATAGTCTGATAAGACTACAAACCGGATTTGAGTAACGTAGCACTTCCGGTTTTCGAGAAATCACGAATTTCAAACGAAACCACACAAAATCTCCGAAAATTAATTAAATACATTTTATTTTATTTTTTAAATCAGGTTTTGGTGAACATTTGGTTCACTGGTTTGCTAGTCTATGCTAATGCGAAAATGAGTTGATGAGATTTAAATGCAAAAACACCATCTCAATTTCTTTTAGGATTATTAATAGGATATCCAAAAAAAATCCTTAATTATATAATGGTTTGATTAGCAAACCAGTGAACCAAATGTTCACCAAAAATTGATTTAAAAACTTAGGAGATTTTGTGTGGTTTCGTTTGAAATTCGTGATTTCTCGAAAACCGGAAGTGCTACGTTACTCAAATCCGGTTTGTAGTCTTATCAGACTATTCTTAACTTATAACTTAAATATTCTCTTTATCTATCTTTTACGGTTTGGCCGCTGAAACAGCACCACAGACGGACGGACGGACTTGTCTAATAGATAAGAGATGATTAACATATTTTTATTACTAGCGGCCGCCCGCAACTTCGTACGCCTGGAATTAGTAAGAGATAAAGGTTCACTGCTCGTCCCCCGTAGGTGATAGCGTGATAATATGTAGCCTATAATGTTGACCCGACTTCATAATAATATTCGTGCCAAATTTGAAATAAATCCATGCAGTACTTTTTGAGTTCATCCCGGACATACATACAGACAAACAGACAAAAATTCTAAAATCTATATTTTTGCCCCCGGTATCGATTGTCGATCGAGGAGCTCGATGGTGCAAGTGGTTAGCGCGTTCCGCAGCGATCGTTGAATTTAAGCAACTTTAGAAGTGGTCGGTCATTGGATGGGTGACCGAAAATTTACTATCTCGTCTTCCGTGCTTCGGAAGGCACGTTAAGCCGTTGGTCCAACCAACCACCACTGGGCTCGCGTGGTGGGTCATGGCCCAATCTCCCTATTCCATCCATAGGGAAGCCTGTGCCCCAGCAGTGGGGGCATTAATAGGCTGATGATGATGATCGATTGTAGATCACACCCCAAGTATTCTTTTAAAATAATATTCAATGTACAGTTTTGACTTTCCTACCATTTTATTATATTATGTTTAGATTAAAAAAATAATCTCATCCATCCATCCGTCCATCAGCCTTTCTCCGTCCACTGCTGGCCATAGGCCTCCCCCATAGAACGCCACAATGCGCGGTCCTGCGCTATCCGCATCCAGCGGCTCCCAGCACATTTGACGATGTCGTCAGTCCACCTTGTTGGGGGCCGCCCCACGCTGCGTCGTCCGGTACGTGGTCGCCACTCGAGGACCTTTCTTACCCAACGGTTGTCAGATCCTCGAGCGATGTGGCCTGCCTATTGCCACTTCAGCGTGCTAACTCTTCGGGCTATGTCGTACACACCGGTCCTTCTACGGATCTCCGTATTTCGGATCTTATCACGTAGGGAAACACCGAGAATAGCCCTCTCCATAGCACGCTGCGCGACTCTGACTTTTGTTATGAGGGCGACATTCAGAGACCTCATATTCATGTTTAAATCCGATGACATGCATATTAAAAGTATGATTGAATCGCGATTTAGAAATTAAAATCCACATAAAAAACTGTAGAAAATATAAATAAAACTAGTTTTTTACGGGTTAATGCACTAAACTTTATTTATTTATTGACATTTCGTAGCCTTTAAAGGCTACGTCGGCGTCGTCAGAATCAAATTTTATTTAATTTTGTCGACCTACCTTCGAAAGACTTTTTATTGAGCGTTCGGTTATTTCATTGTTCGATTTTTAAAATTTTTATTGTCTATGTATGAATTTATTACTTAATTTAGTTAATAAAGTACTTTATTTAAAATTCTTTTTGTTATTTTGAGTTTATTTATTTGACCCTAACTACCGTAAACTACCACCGGTTCCAAAATTGGGAGACCTTCCTGAGAAGAACCGGCGAAACAAACTCAAGAGAGGCTTTCTATCTCTTTCTTATGTTAAATTATGCAAATAAAAAGAAATAAAAAGTCTTTCGAAGGTAGCTCTACAAAATTAAATAAAATTTGATTCTGACGACGTAGCCTGTAAAGGCTACGAAACGTCAATAAATAAATAAAGTTTAGTGCATTAACCCGTAAAAAACTAGTTTTATTTAATGAGCGATGTTCGTGAAAACCTAAGAAACAGAAAATATACAAATCAAATTACTCAAAGATGACACTGATAGATGTAGATTACTAGGTAGGGTCACATTCACATCTCACGGGGCCCATCCACGCGAACATCAAACAAAACAACGATCCTTATCCTGAAACAGAGAGCGAGCGAGCGAGGCGGTGCACAAAACGGTCAATTAGCTTTCCTTTTAAACGGTGCAAGCGTTTAGTCGTTCCATTGACCCCGCTGAATGGATCCCGTATCGATACAAGTGCCAATATAGATGTTATCTGTGCGCGAGCGCCGCTCCCGCGCGTGGCGCCGCGTGCCGCGTGCCGCTACGCAGCGGGCGTGGGCTTCACCTGTGGAATACACGAACGAACAAGTGTTGGCCAACTATCGATATTAAAACTATCGACAGTTTACATCGAAAATCATGTACCCTATCGATAAGATCGATACAACCTATAGTATCGGTACTATCGATAGCTCAACCCCTCTAGCATGACCACCGAAACGGGATATGATAAAGCGATATATCGACATTAACTGTCAGACTACTGTCAAACTCCATAGTAGTCTGACAGTTAATGTCAATATCTCGCTTTATCATATCCCGTTTCGGTGGTCATGCTAGAGGGGCAGAACAAGGCAATACTATCGAATGAGTGCAATACTATAGATACTATCGATAATATTACTA